GTGGTGGTGATGAGAACATGGGTGATGGTGATTTTGGGAACCCATTCGAAAGAGCTTATGATAATGACGACGACGACGATGATGATGGTGATGACGATATTAGTAAAACTGTTAATGATGAAGAAGACGACGATGGTGTTGATGATGATGATAGTAACTTGATAAATTTTGGAGAGAACGATAACAATAGTAATAACAATAACAATCGTAATATCAGGAATAATGATAAAACTAATGAGAATAATAATAAAAAAGAAGATGAATATGAGCCATCATCAGCTGTTTTAGGTTAGCTTATTATTATTATTATTTATTATCATTATTATTATTGTTGTTGTTGTTGTTATTTTTATTACTATAACCGGAGCGATGGCGTAGCGGTAAAGTTTCTGGCACTGCTGTCGTAGTGACTGGATTCGATTGCAAGTACTGTTCGTTTTTCTGAATGTTTGCCGTTGCCGTTATTATTGGTGCCTTTGAAAATTTTTGAAAAAGAGATTAGTAATTAGATGGATGAATGGATGAATGAATGAATGAAAGAATGATTCAATCAATCAATCAATGTTATTATTATTGTTGTTGTTGTTATTGTTGATGTTATTTTTCATCTCAGTTGCTTACAAGAGGTATTCAATCAGTGGCCTGTCGAAAAGGAGAAGACCACGAAGGAAGGCCAGTTTATTATTATTATTGTTGTTGTTTATTATTATTATTATTATCTTTTATTATTGTGTGTGTGTGTTTGTGTGTTTGTTTGTGTGTGCGTGTGCCTGTGGGAATGTAGGAGGGCAACTTTTGAACTTTGACCTTTAAAATATTATCCACGTTACGTTCTTACAACGGCCAAAAAAAATGACCATGACCTTGATCTTTGAACTTTCTGCAGACGTACATACGACCGCAGGTCCGACCGGGGTTGGATCTGATCATAACCCGGAACACAATCATAAAGACATTCCGGTTCCCATTGGCCACACAACTTATGGGAGATTCCGGGATCGTCGTCAACGAGTGCATGTCCGAGTTTCGATACGGATTCTCACTTCCTATTTATATCCTGTTAGTATTGTTGTAGCTATTTATTCATTCATTCATTTATTTATCCTTTTTTTTGTTCATTTACTCATTCATTTATTCATTTGTTTATTCATTCATTCATTCATTCTTTCATTCATTTATTTATTCATTCATTCTTTCATTCATTCATTCTTTTATTCATTCATTTATTTATTTATTCATTCATTCATTCATTTCTCATTCATTCATTCTTTCGCTCGTTCGTTCATTCATTCATTCATTCATTCGTTTAATTAATCAATTCGTTCATTCATTCATTTTTGTAAATTTATGTTAATTTACATTCAGAGAGTTTCTCATGGATACTGAGATTGAAGCCATTTACGGTTACGACCAGCTTGGCACCGTTAGTTGTGTGTTTGTGTATTATGTGCGTGTGCTGCATTTGTCATTCATTCAATCATTCATTCAATCAGTCAGTCAGTCATTCATTTAGTCATTCACTTACTCACCAACTGCCGAGTTTGTTAGACAGTCAAAAAAGGACTTGATAGATTATTATCTATCCATACATTCATCAATCAATGAATTCATTCATTCATTTGTTCATTATTCATTCACTAATTCATTCCTTTATCTATTCATTCATTCATTCATTCATTCATTCATTCATTCATTCATTCATTCATTCATTCATTCACCAGCTACCGAGTTTATTGGACAATCAGAAGAGGGACTTGATAGACTACCTATTCAACACAGTCTTCAACTACCAGCAACATCTTAAGTACCTGAAGGCTAATCCAGGTAAGATGACGATGATGATGACGACGATGACGATGATGATGATGACGATGTTTATTAGTATGTTGTTGTTGATGATGACGGTGATGAAATTGTTGGCGATGATGATGATGATGATGGCGTTGCTGATTGGTTGGTGCTGATTGGTTGGTGCTGATGCTGACGTCGTGACCTCATGTCGGTATTTCCGTCGGTATTGTGTTTATTCACGATGACGTCATCATCACAACAACAACAACGACAAAAACGACGACGACAACAACAACAGACGTATATTTCAAGCCTAGCATCAAAAAAACGCATAAAGAGGTGGAATTCATACCGACCAATCTGCACATCCAGTCGATGTTCGTCAGTAAAAAGTTAAACGAAGATAGTTAGTATCTCTCTGCCTGTAGTATTTCTATTATACGTTCATCGTTTTTAGTAGTAGCAGCAGCAGTAGTAGTAGCAGTAGTAGTAGCAGTAGCGGCAGCAGTTGAAGCAGCGTCACTAGCTGTAATGTTAGTAGCAGCAGTAGTAGTAGCAGTATTTAGTAGTTAATGTTTTAGTTGCTCTGGTAGTAATAGCTGCTATTGGAGTTTAAATATCACCGTCACCTGATGCTAATTATCATAATTTATGATTATTTATGTTAATTTATTACCATGTACGTAGAGTACAGGTATGATTTCATAACGGTTGGTGCATTCACGGCTCTGTCTCAGAAGTACAAGCATGGCGGTCTGAAGAGGCTCATTAGTCTTTTCAATCAGTTTTCTACTAAGGTTTACGTTGTTATTTGTTTCATTGATTCGTTTGCTCGTTCTTTCGTTCGTTCATTTGTTCTTTCGTTTGTTCATTTGTTCGTTCGTTATTTGTTTCTACGTTTGTTTGTAAATTCATTCATTTGTTTGTTCGTTGATTTATTAGCTGACTGGTTGGCTGGTTGGTTGGTTGATTGTTTGATTTATCCATCCACTCGTTCATAACCAATCTTTTAATCCATTTATCCATTTGTCCATTCAACCATTCTTTCAGCACACACACACACACACACACACACACGCTCACACACACACACACACACAGATTGACAAGACGACGACGAGACACGATTACTACAGCGACATCCTGACACAAATGGACAAAGCCAGGTCCGACATAGCCAAGTACACTGACATCCTTTGTGCCGTTTCAATTAAGGGCAAAGTCAATCCAGTCCTTCAGGCTTACAAGTTTCTAGAGCAGGCTGTTGGTCTTTGTTCGTGTGGTGTTGTGTGGTTTGGTGTGTGGAAATGTGTAGTGCGTGGCTTGTGTAGTGTGTGGCCTGTGTGGTGTGTGGCTTGTGTGTGGTGTGTGGCGTGTGTGGCCTGTGTGTGGTGTGTGGGAATGTGCGGTAGTGTAGTTGTTAGTTTGGAATTATTGTGGGATTAATTTTTTTTAGCTTTTTAAGTTTATTGTTCTCATGAAAACCTAAAGGCCTACTTCTTACACAATCTCTTCTTTCTCTTTTTTTCATTTTTCTCTCTCTCTCTTCTTTTAATCTTTTTTCTCTTTTTTTGCACACATTCACACACACACATTCACACACGCGCGCACGCACACATTCACTCACACACATTCACACACGCGCGTACGCACACACACACATTCACACACACACGCACACGCACAGATTGCAAAACTCTTGAGACTATGCACTAGTTCGGCGGTCAGCAAATCACTGAGGGAGTTCTACGGCCAGCAGCCGAAAAACATGTCCAACACCGGAATGGTGGACGAGGTTCACTTCCGGGACTGCAACTTGAATGAACCCTCGCCCGCCGCTGCTAGGGAGCACCAGATCAACTGGGCCATGCTCGGAGGAGTAGAGTTGCTAAGGGGTAAAAGTATAGATCCCTGGGTATGTGGGGGTAGGAGTTTTTGCTTTTTTGTTTGATCAATAGATAGATGGATGGATTGATGGATTTGTTGATTCGTTTCTTGATTAATCAATCAATCAATCATTCAGTCAACCAATCAGTCAATCAATCAACCTACCAACCGATCACTAAAAATTTCAATTAATCAACCCAACCAACCCAACCAATCAACTCAACCCAACCAACCCAACTCAACCAACCAACTCAACCCAACCAACCCAACCAACCCAACTCAACCCAACCAACCCAACTCAACCCAACCAACTCCAAACAAAATTCTCAGGACAAACCGCGCTCAAACATGGAGATATCGTTACAGTGCCTGAAGAACGTCCTGGAGGCTTGCTTCAAAGCCCCAGAAAGGGAACGAACCTTCTGGCTGGACAGCATCAGCCCCCACGCCATCCGCCTCAAGAGATGTGCCGAAATCCTCTTTAACCGCTACAAACTCGGTCCTAACTTTATTATCATGCAGGTGAGGAGGTGTGAAGAAGGAAGGTTTTTTTTTCCTATTGGTGTATTTAATCTATATACGTATTTTGTTATATTGTTGTTGTATATCATATGTATGTTTACCGCATACATGTTTGTATATACGTGTATCAATATACATCTTATTATGTATATACGTATATACACGTATATCATATGTACCTTGTTTTTATTGTATTGTACTTACTGACTTTCACTGCAATAAACTTAGATATACATGTGTGTATACGTTTATATGTATATATCTTATATAATTTTATATGTATCACTGTGTATCACTACTGTGTATGATATATGCAGGAGGTATCCAACAATCTGCCCTTGTATCATACTATCAAGTATAGGAGAGATATTGTCTTCACACAGGCCGTTCGTCATTTCGTTTCTTTGTGTTTTACATTTTGTTTGTTTGTTTGTTTGCTTGTTCAGTGGTTTGTTTGCTGTTTGTTGTTGATGATGATACAGTGTTGTTGAGTTGATGATGATGGTAGTGATGCCAATAGTGGAACGACGATGATGACGATGACGACGATGGTAACGGAAGATAATTTAACACACCCCCCTCAGCTGACGTCAGCAGTTTTAGGATTCCTGATCAGGCTGTCGGCCTTCATATCGACATCAGTCTCCATCATAAAACGCGACCCATCGTCTGCCACGGCTACCTCAAAATCGACCATGTCCGTCGTTTCGGCGGGGTCAGAGGCCAAGGGGGTGGGTCATCTCGGCCACCAATCGACGCTGACCTCATGGCTGTATCAGTGCATGACCATCGGTCACTTGATGCAGGTTGAAAGTCTGCTCAGTTGCTACGGTGACGAGATCGGCATGATGGAAGATGAGTGGGTGGCTCTGAATGACCTTAGAAAGGTCAAACTCAAACTGGCCCCCGTGTCCAGTAGGGTAGCGAAGAAGGACGTGTCGCACGTGCTGGAGAAGATGCAGAAGAAGTACTTCCCGCCGGATGTGGACGCCGATTTGGAGGTTGTTGGCAGGAGGACGAAGCTAGAGAGGCCGCGCTCCGTTACGAGCCTCAAGATTTACGCTAAAAAACTGAAACCGAATGAATTCGAAATCACCGACATCGAGTTCGAGACGGACGATTCCGACATGCAAATAAAATCGTCATCGTCGTTGATAATATCCCCCGAGCCGACCTCCTCGACGCTGTCGTCGTCAGCAGCCACGAGAAGCACAACAGCCACTCAGCCCACACATTCCACATCAACGTGTGACAACACGACGACGTCGTCGCAACAAACCCCCAAGAAAGCCTCAAATATCAGTCAGAACGCTACCTCCTCAGTCGCTCCACCGCCGACCACATCTACGGCCACATCGTCAACCTACAGTCGATCGCATTCGACAGTCGCAACGAAAAAAACCGCAAAATCCAGCGACAAAAAATCGTCGAAACTCGGCGGCCAAAGAAATAACATAGAAGACCCGAGAAACATCGAATACTTGATAACCGGCACCAGAGATAACCTCCTCGTGACCATGTACATACCGGAGGATGTGTACGAGTTCATAAAGGGCGACCTGGTGAACTGTTTGAAGTTGAGGAGTTTGGTGGATAGGAACTCCGACGCTATCTTCATGCACGAGTCCAGTATCGAATTCACCATGGTGCCCGTCTGGTTCACCATGGGCATCAACGAGAATGCCACCATCGCCGAGAAGTTGGTGGCTGTTGTCGTTGCTGCTGCTGCTGCTATTGTTGTTGGTGGCGGCGGTGGTGACGTCATCGTCGTTACTGACGTTGTTGTTTTTTTTGTTATTGCTTTTAGCGCAAAATTTTTAGACTCAATCGTCCAATCAATTGGTTACCCAACTTTTCAAATATTTTTCATTTAATTGGCGGGAATCTCTCCGACCGGGTTCTTTCGCCTATTTAGTCGTCGTTGTATGAAAATTTCTTGCAGATTTTTCAGCACTTCTTTCCAAGAGGAAATCAACAAGGAGAACTACAGCAGGCTGAATGATTATTTCAAGAAGTACAGTGCACTTCCCGGTTAGCATGGTGCAGATGTTCAATCGTTCAACCAGCCAACCAACCAACCAACCAGCTAACTAACTAACCAATCAATTTGTCAATCAATCCACTCCTCAATCAATCAATCAATCAATCTATCTATCAATCTATCTATCAATCAATCCATCAATTAATCAATCGGTATCTCAATTTTCAATCAAACAATTAACCAATCAACCAATCAACAAACTTTTCATTCAATCAATAATCAACTTCCCTAACAACGTAACGTATCAATAAACCAACCAACCGACCAACCGACCGACCAACCAATCAGAGAACGTGAACTCTGGCAATGTGAGGTCGATAGATGGCATGATGCAGCTACTCCAAACAAACATCTTCAGCACTAAGAAGAACAAAAACGTCGACATCATACAGATCGCCGGCGATGTTAGTGGCTCGACGGACGTCAGCGTCATCAGAATGACGTCATCATTATGATGCTAATGGTCGTTATGTTTATTATGCCTGGTGATCATCCAATGTTCCAAGGATGGACTGTGTGTGTGTATGTGTGTGTGTGTGTGTGTGTGTGTGTGTGTGTGTGTGTGTGTGTGTGTGTGTGTGTGTGTTGTAAAGTGTAAATAAATAGTTGTAGCAATGATGTTAACGCTGGAGTTGTTTACGATGTGATGTTGATTGGGACAACAACAACCTCAACAACAACAACAACAATGATAATATTAATAATAACAATAATAATAAAACGACCACAACGACCACACGCAGATATGCCGCGCTTTGAATGGCGCCCGCTTCACCAGCTGCAAGAGCGCGAAAGATCGAACGAGTATGTCGGTGACGCTCGAGCAGGTGAAGCTGCTGAGACGTGAGCATGATCTGGCGCAAGACGCCTTCATTCACGCCCTGGATTCTATCAGGAGGTGTGTGCTTGTGTGTACGACGTGTTTGCCTGTGTTTGCGTGTGTGTACGTGTGTGTGTGTGCGTGCTAGAAATTAATATGGAAAATAGAATATAGGAGATATCGATATAGAAAATTGACGAGAATGTTTTTTATCTCTCACACAACTCAACAGCGAAGGCGTGCGACGAGATAATACCCTTAAAAATACCGGGGTTCGAAAGTACGCCTTCAACACGATACAGATCGTATCTCTGCCCAAGATGTACAGACCGCCCAAGGGCACATTTGGTAATACTAAAAACTGATTGGTCGATTTTTGTTTGTTTGTTTGTATTGGGTGATAGTTTATGGGAAGTGAGGCGATTCGATGATTGATTTGATTGGATGGTTGGTTGGCTGGCTGGCCGGCTGGCTGGCTGGTTGCACGGTATGTTTAACAAATGGTTGGTTGGTCGGTTAGTTGAGTATGTTTA